GAGTCCGCCTCTCTCTGACCTGCTGTGGGGCATCAGGCGAACTCTCTTTGCTCCCTTTCTCTTCGTGGTCCCCTCTGTCACTGGGGTTTGACCTTGAAGGGGCTGCGCTCAGCTCCGTGCTCCTTAAAAGGAGGGGCTGGGGGCACAGAGGGAGCCGAGGGAAGGGAGGGGCTCGAGCTGCTCCGTTTGTGGCTAAGTTGCCCCTGGGAAGACTGGACCCCCCTGGGAGCGGCTCAGCGGGGCAGCCCGACAAATCCCCTGGGCTGGTCCTGCCCCCTACCCCTCCCTGGGCAGATCCCTGCTCAAGTCTGAGGTTTCAGGGGCTAAATCTGGGTTTGGGGGGTTATTGAGCAGGCCCAGGGGGCCTTTGGGGGTGGGTAGAGGAGGACTCCAGGTTAGGACACACAACACCCCCAAATGCCCACGCCAGTTCCTGAAGAGTCTCTGCTCCGCGTGTGGCCCCTCTGCTCCTGCCCAGCACCCCGTGTCAGCGGGACGGGCTCTGGCAGCGGAGCCCACCCCAGGCAGAGCCTCAGAGGGCGGACTGGACGCTCTGTCCCAGCCCAGCTTCCCCCAGGCTCTGGACTCCATCCCAGAGGCCCTGGGTCAGGGATTAGGGGCCGGGTGATGGGAGGAGAGGCCCAGAACATGCAGGAGGTGTGCCTGCGGGGGGTGGGGGCACTGGGACCCCCACTGCCTGTGAGGCCCCGGGCAGCCATGCCCACTGCCTCCACCCCCTCAGCCTCAGTCTAGGACAGGTTGGAGCCAGTGGTCCCCAGACTCCTTCAGGGACCCCTCACTTGTCTGCGTGATCCATGGCATTTACAGCTGGGCCTTGGCAGCCACGAGCACCGGGAGGACGAAGGGTGAGGCCCTGGGAGCCTCGGGGTTGGGGTGTGTTGGGGGTGGGGCTGGGCAGCTCCGAGCTGGCCCCTTGGGACTTTCTCCTGGTTCGCGGCTCAGTTCACTCCTGGGACCTGCTCCTGTGAGTCCCAGACCTCATGCTCTCCCCTCGGGGTTCTGCCAACAGCCTCCCTATCTCGACTCCCCCTAGAGCTGACCACACTGTCCCCCTGCTGACCTTCCTCCCTGGCTCCCCACCCTGCAGGACGAAGTCTAGCTCCAGCGCCAGCACGGACAGCCCAGCACGGTGTGTCCCTGCCCCACCCTTCCGACTCTCCTCAGCCCCATCTCCATGCCCCTTCCAGCCACGAGGAGAACTAGGCGTTTCTGGAACACACAGTGCTCTTCTTCTCTCCAGCAGGCTTTTTGCACAGGCTGTTCCCTCTGCCCAGAATACCCTTCCTTGCTGTGTCCCCTGAGTGAACGCCCTACTTCTTTTCAAGCCCCAGGCCGCCTCCCCCACGAGGCCTTCTGATTGACACCTGGCCCTGGGCCAGCTCTGTCCCTGGCCCGAGCACATGTGACCAGGCAGGTTCTGGGTCTGCCCAGCATCCAGCTCATGAACTCGAGGCCCCTGACTTGAGGTGTCAGGGTCCCCACTGCTGCCTGTCAGCTGGCCACCGTCTCCAGCTCCGGTCTTGTTGCTGCTTCCCTCCTCACTCACAGGATTGAAAACAAATCTGCATATTTGCAGACAACCCTGTGGGGGGTCAGAGCAGGTACAATAGTTGGAATAACTCAGAGAAGCTTGTCCTTGTCCCCAATAGCATCTCTAATGGCCTGTCCCATTGTCAGACACACCACCATTAGGATTTTGTCCTTTGAGGACAAGATTACCCTTCTTACAGGTCCCCGATGAACACACACCTACCCTGTGCCAGGGGCCTCGGAGGGTAGGGCTTGCAAAATGGAGCGAATGGCTGTGATTTGAAACAAATGTGTGCTGTGTTGGGGTCTCTGGGCTCCAGGATCATCCAGTCTGTTCCCGTCTCTTACTAGGGCAACTCCGAGTTCAAGGAGAGAACACCACCCTGGACTTTTCCAGCCTCCCCTGGGTTTCCTGACTCTGCCAGGGGCTATGAGGCAGTCGGGGGGACAACAGAATGAACCCCACACACCTGCCTGTTTGGATCTGCCCAGCTGCATAGGAGCTGTGTGGCCTTAGGCCTGTCCCTTGCCCTCTCTGAGCCCCAGCTTCCTCACCAATGGTAGCTGCCTTCCTAGTCAGAAGGATTAAGTGAGATCATAGGGGTGAAGCCTGACACACACTAGGTGCTCAGTAAGTATGCGGGTGTCTTGACCCACATCTACTCACCCCTGTCAGCCGGGTGGCTGTGGGCTCGACTAGCCGACTCACACCTGACCTCATTTCCTGGTTCTGTCCTGGGCCCACCTCCTGCTCTCCTCTCTTCCTTTCCAGAAGGAAATCTCATTCACCGCCTGCCTGGCCTGGCCCCATGGGCCCTGCTTCCTCCTCCTCCTCGTATCTGCACCCGCCAGGATCTGACTGTTACGCTGTGGCCCAAGACAGTCAATCTGGAGGTCCCTGAATGAGGCCCGTTTCCTGCCCTGGAGAGCTGAGAAGACTGAGGCTCAGAGAGCAGAGGGGCTACTCAAGACCTCCCAGCATCCTCTGGGGCTTCTGCTCTTCCTCCAGGAAGCCTTCCATGATTTTTCCACCCAGCATCAGCTTGGATCTGGTTGTCCAAGGATGGGCTTTTCAGCACCTCTCCAGCCAGATGCCAAGCTCCTGAGGGCAAGACTTGTCTCCTAGAACATTCCTTTCCCAGGGTCACTGGGCTCCTGGCTTGTCCTGGTGCCTCTTCTGTGGCTTGAACTGTCAGGTTCAATCCTCCTCTACTTATCCCCTCTCCGATCTTCGCTATGGAGTGTGGTGGGGGCTGTGGGGTCAGAGGGGCTGGCCTCACCCATATCCTGCTTCTACCTCCTACTAACTGTGTGACCTTGGACTGGCTGCTCAGCCTCTCTGGGCCTCTGTGGTCCCATCTGTCAAATGGGAATTCTTTGAGTGGCTTCAAGGCTGCTGTGGGGGTGCAGAGTGGGGACAGATGTAGCAGGGATGGGTCCACATGGGCAAGGGGCCCAAGATTTTTCCTCAGCTGGTGGCCACTGTGTCCACCTTGTGTCCCCGAGGCAGCGGCAGAGCCGTGAGTCATCCAGCCTTGGGAGAAAATAAGCACAGCCCCCCGGCTTCCTGCCCCCACGTCCGGCCCTTGTTCAGCAGCACAATCGCTCAGGTCGAGGCTGAGGGCGGGCAGCTTAACCTCTTCAAGGCCGGTGGCCGCGTCCCCTGCGCCCAGGGTGCCGTAAGCTGGAACTGGCACGGCCGCCTGGGGCTCAGCAGCTCCTGGGCCCCTTAGAGGCCACCTGCTGCCCTCCAGGTGCGGCCCAAAGATGACTGGACTCAGGCTGGACAGCGGACAGCCCCACTGGTCCCCATCGCCTGGAGATGAACCAGAGCTCCGGGCCTGGCCCTCAGGGCCTGCAGCATCCCTCGCCCTCCGGGTGCTCCTTGCTCTGAAAACCCCTCCGGCTGCAGCCTCCCCAAAACCTCCGAGCCGCCCAGGCCTCCTGCCTCCCCTGCAATGCCCTTCTCCCGTGTCAGGATCCTAGCTGCCCACCACCCACGGCAGAAAGGTCCATGGTGGGGGCGGGGGAGGCGGGTAGAGAATGAGCATAGTGCTTGTTGCAGAGTAGCTGCCCAGGGTGCTTACTGGAGGAAGAGCTGAGTCGACAGCCCGTCCCTTGCACCCCATCCCTTTCACTAGCTGGGGACTGGCCTCCCTCAGGGCTCAAAACCGTTCTGACATTCACAGCCACAGTCAGCTCTGGGGCAGCAAATAAATTGAGCCGTGATTTCTTGAAGGTTCCCCTACTATGAGCTGTTCCTGGCGCCAGGTGTGTATATTGCTTCTTTCAACTGACTCCTGAAAAGACCGTTTCCTCCATTTCACAGACAAGAAAGCTGAGACGGGGAGAGCTGCGTGGTGCTGGAAGGAGCCGGGGCTGCGGGCGCGAGCTCTAGTTCCAGTTCCCACTCCAGCTCTAACATCTCTGGAGCTCGGTGGCCTCCATGGAGGGGGGGAAAGGATGGGCTCACTCATGGGGCTGTTAGTAGGAGAACATAATGAGCCCCGTTCCTTGAGAGGTTTCTGTGCGCATCATCTCCAGTTCCCACGAGGAACCGCAGAAAGAATTGCTGTCTCCACTGTTCAGACAAGCAAATTGAGGTTCAGAGACGTTGGGCAGTTTTCCCAAAGTCACACAGGAAGTGAGTGGTACAGCTGGGATCTGCGCCCAAGACCACTGTCTCCAGGCTGGGCTCTCACCCTGTGCTGCCTGCCTTCAAGATTCTTTGGGGCGATTTCCCTAAAATATGAGGGCTGCCGGGTCCCTTGGGCCCAGCCTTTGGTTATCTGGGTGTTGGGGGGATGGGTGAGCCGCTTTCCTGCACGCAGCTCCCACAGCTGGGGACCAGCCCCCACAGCATCTGGGGCTGGGCAGGGTGGGGAAGGGATTCCCATAGGCAGGACCTCTAGTGCCTGGAGTTACGCCTCAGCTTGCTACTCCAGAAGTGGGGGCGCTGGCTGGTAGTGAGGGCCCGAGGCTCAGAGCTCCTCTTCCTGGGCTTCTCTTCCAATCCCTGGGGAGGGCCTGATGCCAGGCCTTGGTTAATCCTTTCCTGTGGGGGAAGGGGCACCAAGGGGGAGCCTAGGTCTGGGTGTCAGTCCCCTGTGGGTGGTGTGCTGGGCAACTTGGGCAGAATCCTACCTTCTCTGAGCCTGGCACCAGTGGAAGCCTGTGGGCCCTCAAGTCACATCGAGTTGCGGAGTCTACATGTGGGAGAGCTGAGCCCTCACGCCCTCCCTCAGCCCTGAGAACACCTGCTCGTGACCATGGGTGGCCCTTCCCAGCCCTGCTCTGAGCCAGGAGGAGACCCAGTCTGCCCCAAGGAGTGGCTCTTCCTGGGACCCCCAACGACGACCATTCTAAGATGCAGAAGCTGAGGACCCTCTGGTCTTGGGCACATGGCGATGGGTCTGGGGTAGCGCGCGGTGCGGGGAGCCCTCACTCACCGTGCCCGTTGGCTGAGAGGTGTCTCCGTTTGTCCGTCTGTCTGTCCGTCTCTCCGGGGCCGAGCACGCTGGGGAGCTCTGCGGAGCTCAGCAGCCAACAGCCTCTCGAGGGGAGCCACACCCGGCCTGCAAGGGAGGCCTGGCCGCCGCCCCTTCAGGTTTTCCAGCTGGCCCCGGCCCATTTCCCCCAGGATGGCTTCCTGTTATTGTTCCTTTGTGAGGGCCGGGCTGGCCGCAGACAGGCAGGCCCCGTGGTGGGCGGCCACCTCGGCCCAGCCGGGCTGACCCCATGGAGGCCTAGCCCTGCCCCAGCCTGGGATGCTCAACTGGGACCCCAACCCCGGGCCTCAGCTCTGGGCCTCCGATCCCAGCACCTGCCTAGGGCCTTAGTTCACCCTCCTTGTAACCCCGAGGGCAGGTGTCATCACGTCCATTTTATAGCTCGGGACACAGACTCAGCAAGTTTAGGTTGTGTGTCCACCCGGCTGGGGCGTAGCAGCGCCAGAAATCCAGCCTGGGTCAGCCCAGGCTGAGAGTCAGATTCTCCCGGGTGACCCCATGGCACGTGAGGTGGGGGCAGACTTTGCAGGGGATGCTTCAGGGGCCTCAGAGGTGGAGTGGGTGGGAGACGAGTCGCAGACCGCCACTCTTGGCTCTGTGAGCCGGATCCACTTTCCGGTGGGCGTGGGCATGGGTTCCAGCTCTAAGGCGCCAGACTGGGTTTGTGGGGGTCGTTGGGTTTAGGAACGGCAGGCGGCGTCAAGTGCCCTGGCTCTGCTTCTGATGTGACTGTGGGCCCATCATGTCCCCCCCCGAGCCTCAGTTTCCTCATCTGTAAAATGGGAATAATTGTAGCCCGAACCCCATATGGCTGCTGTGATCATCTAGAGTCGAAGAGGGGCGTGGAAGGTGGTGAAGCTGAAGGCCGGATCGGAAGCTGTCAGAACCAAGAAGCTGGGGGGAGGGGCTCAGTTTCCGTTAATTTGAGAGTTAGGAGGAACTTTTACAAATTGCCGACCCCAGAGCCCCACCCAGGGCAGCTGATTTGGAATCTCCCAGGGCAGGCTGAGGGAATCCGTCCTTTGACTAGTTGCCCCTGTTTTTCCGGGGGTGGATGAATGGTCGGGAAGTCCCGATCTTGTTCCATCATGCAGCTGAGCAGAGACCTGAGCGGGAGAGGGCTTGCCCAGGGCACTCAGGACGTCAGCGGACACTGGAATGGAGATGGGGAGTGCGTGGAAGAATATTTTTTTGGGGGGAGAGAAAAAGATTTCCCTGTTTTGGGCATATTGAGTTTGAGATGGCTCTTAGACACCCAAATGGCGATGTCAGATTGGCAGCTGGAGACAGGCATGGATACAGCTGGAGACAGGCGTGGGTACAGGTGGAGACAGGTGTGGATACAGCTGGAGACAGGGGTGGAGACAGGTGGAGACAGACATGGGTACAGGTGGAGACAGGCGTGGGTACAGGTGGAGACAGGGGTGGATACAGGTGGAGACAGGAGTGGATACAGGTGGAGACAGGGGTGGGTACTGGTGGAGACAGGGGTGGAGACAGGTGGAGACAGGGGTGGGTACAGGTGGAGATAGGGGTGGGTACTGGTGGAGACAGGCATGGATACAGGTGGAGACAGCGGTGGGTACAGGTGGAGACAGGGGTGGATACAGGTGGAGACAGGGGTGGGTACTGGTGGAGACAGGGGTGGGTACAGGTGGAGACAGGGGTGGGTACTGGTGGAGACAGGCATGGAGACAGGTGGAGACAGGGGTGGGTACAGGTGGAGACAGGGGTGGAGACAGGTGGAGACAGGAGTGGATACTGGTGGAAACGGGTGGATACAGGTGGAGACAGGGGTGGGTACAGGTGGAGACAGGGGTGGATACAGGTGGAGATGGGGTGGGTACAGTTGGAGATGGGGTAGATACTGGTGGAGACAGGGGTGGGTACAGGTGGAGATGGGTGGCCTGGAGATGAGGTTTGAAAGCTGGGGGGATCTTAGGGCTGGCACCTGAGGCCATAGGAGTGGATAAGTTTACAGGGAGGGAGGCCCCCGGGCCTCCAGGATTTGCAGATCTGTTAGAAGAGGGCCCAGCGAGGAAGGAGGGAAGCTGGGAGAGGGCAGGGCTGTGGAGCCAGGTTAGGACAGTGGGGTGTCAGCCGGGTCATCCTGGGAAAAGTGAGGGCTGAGTGTCGACTGCTAGATTTGGAAGACGGAGGCGATAGATGGCTGCGACCAGAGCAGATCACGCGGCGAGGCGTGGATGAGACGGATTAGAGGGGCTGGAGCCGGGGATGAGGGAGTGGGGGCTCCGCGGTCACAGCTCCTCCAAGACTTGCAGTGACGGGGGCAGAGAAATGGGAGGCTTTTTGTCTGTTTAAAGCTATGGTGGCATGTTGTGTGCTGAGGGGGCGTCCAGCAGACCGGAAGCCAGATGATGCTGGAGTAGGAAGAGGGAACCTCTGGCAGGAGAGCAGTCCTGGGGCAGCCTGAGTGGGACCCAGCACATTCCATCACCCTTTGTGGAATGAGCAAACAAAGGCTCAGACTTCCCTTCTCCGACAGGATTAACTCTGCCTTCTCCTGCCAGAGGGTGGGGGTGGCCACTGAGGAGCCGGGACAGGCCCGCACTCCGTCGCTGATGCCCCAGCCCCATTCCCCCTCCTCCCTGCCTGTGCCGACAGCCTGCCCTGGTGGTCTACGTGCCCACAGGGCCGGGCCCAGCTGGGCATTGCTTCCTGCTGGGTCTCAGACTGGGCGCAGGTGGCAGACGGTGCAGGGTCTGTCCTGGCACCATCTGCCAGCTCCCTTTGTCCTCCCCATCCGTGAGGAAGTTGACTGCCCTGAAGCCCGCTGTTCCTGTCGTCTGTAAACAAGGGAATGGTGTCCAGATACGTGCCCCTGGAGCGGGGATGGGCTCGCCACACAGAGGTAGTCTAGGCCACGGGAGGGGGGGCTAGCGCCCCTCGGGGCTCCCTGAGGATCTCATGCCCCATTTCTGCCACTGCCCAGCCCCTGTTCCAACCCGTCTGGAGGCAAAGGAGGTAATGGGAGGGCACAAGGCCGGGAAGTGCCATCAGGAGCAAAAGAGGCAGCCGGTGGGCCGGCAGGAAACAGGCTGGTCTGGGAGACCTGATTAGCAGGCAGCCGGAGGAGGAAGCAACAGTGGGGGAGGTGGGGGTGGGCTGGGGACTGTAACAAGGGTGTTGGGGGAGCCCGTGATGCCCTGCTTGGAGAGCTTCAGGCTTCGGGGTTGGCAGACCGGTTCAGATCCTACCCTGCCCCACGGTGGGCTGTGTGACCTGGGGCTGTCGACTTGCCTCTCTGAGCCTCTTTCCTCACCTGTGAAATGGGCTGCCAGTTCACACTGTGCAGGGCTGTCTGGTGGGTCAAATGAGACAAAGAAAAGAAAAGACGGTAACAACAAGCGTTTCCTGAGCCGGCGTTTCTCCAAGTGTGGTTCAGGCCGCCTGCCTCAGAATCACTCGGGGAGAGTGTTGAAAATCTGGATTCCTGGGCCTCTCCAGGCAGATGGAGTCAGAAAGCTGGTCATGGAGACCCACATGTTTGTAGCTCCCCGGTGACGTGTCTGCACGTGGGAGTCTGAGGACCACTGCCCCGGTGTGCTGGTGGTGAGCGGAGCTCTCTCCCCGGGAACTCCTTGTTCAGTCCTCAGGGCAACCCTGGGGGACGGCACTATTCTTGTCCCCATTATACAGATGGGGAAACCAAGACTGAGAATTAAGTGCTCTCCGAGATCACAGAGCATGTCAGTGGTGGAACGGAAATTCCAACCCAGGCGTCTGTTCAGAGGCCGTCTCCTCGCCCACCAAGCCTTCCTGCCTCTCAACCTGTGTCTGGTGCACAGAAGGGGCTCCTCACAAGAGACCCCGTTCCTTCTTCCCCACAGTGTGGAAGGCCCAAGGCTGGCGCAGGGAAGCCGGGCCGCTGGCTCTGCAGGGGAGGTGGCCGTAAAACCACGCAGCTCACGCCTCTGGGGCTTTACCTGTCCTTGCCTTCTCTCTGCCCCCTCGCCTGCCTGCAGAGCCCCCGCCAGCTTTCTCCACCCCTATCTGCCCTCCTGGGCCCTCTCTGCGGCTCCACTCTCTCCTCTGTGCTCCCGTAGCATTTACAAAACCCCTTCACGGCCCTACCCCTCGCTTCTCTGCTCATTGCCCTCTCTCAGTCCGACAGTGTCTCCTTTGCATGTGTGGTGGGCGCCCGGCACAGGATGAGTGCTCCAGAAACGCGGACGTGAAACCATCGCTCCTTGGAACAGCAGGCAGGCCCTGTGGGCCAGATCTGTGGCTCCCCCAGGGACTGCGTGGGTGTGTGGGGCTCCCCGCCCCTGCAGGGAGTGGCCCTGGCCCTGTCTGCACAGCCCTGGTGGAGAGCTGTGAGCCGGGCCCCTGTCACAGAACACCCAGCCAGGGATGAAACTCGGATGCTCCTGTGGGAAAGCGCCTGGAATGGGCGCCACGGCTTCTGTCAGTAGCTCCATTTAGCTGCTGAAGAGTTTTCCATTTCCTTCCTCTTTTCTCCGGATAATTGCTCCAGACACCTGTGGCTGCTGAGGAGCCTGCTATCTGACGGTCGGACTTTCCCTGGGTGGGGCACAAAGGGGACAGTTGACTGTGTGGGCTCACAGGCTGCCCGCTGCGCTCCTGCCTCCACGGGAGAGACATGGCCTGGGCTGCGAGGGCAGTGGGCTCTGTGAGCCCGCCTGCTGAGTTACGGACAAAGGGAGACCCTTTCCCCAGCGGGGGTTTGGGGAGGGGTCCTTGGCTGTGGTGACGGGGGCGACACCATCTTCAGGGGACACGGAATGGGCGTCAGTGCGGGGTAGGCTGTGGGGGCCCCGGAGGGAGGACGAGCAGGGCAGGGGTCTCGCCCTCAGTGCTGGTCCCACAAGGAGCAGGGAGAGCTCCTCAGAGTAGGGTCGGGACTGGGCTCACCTGTGGGTGCCGAGCTGAGCTCAGGGTGGGCGCAGAGCAGGGGCTGTTGAACGAATGAGTGCGTGAATGAGTGAACGGGTGGATGGGCCACGGGCGTGTTGAGGCAGACACAAGGCCTTGGGCCATGTATACTGTGTGCTGTGGTATGTGCCAGCGCACAGTAGGTCCTTTTCCCGAAGGCTTC